AAAAACAAAAAATAGAAATAATAGTAAATACATGAAAAAGTAATTTTGAAAAGTATCACAAATGATTTTCATTGTAAAAAAGAAAAAATCAAGTTTCAATTACACCTACCTCATACAATTGTAATATTCATAATCACTTATGCTGACTTAGCAATTGTATTGCAAAAATAAAAAGCTGGACAAAAATTGGGTAATGTATCTTCCTATTAGGATTTATGAGTAACAAAAAATATAACATTCAACATTTTCCAAAGATAAGAGTCTTTTGGGGTGGTTGGAATGTCTGACTAGAGATAAATTTTGATTTTGCTGGTTATCACTTCTCTACATATTGGGCAATTACTTAATTCTTTCGCACAGTCCATACAGGTGGCAAGGTGCCCACAATCCACTATGGCACAATCTGCATCTGCATCCATACAAACAACACACTCTGAAAAATACAAATTAAAAAAAGGGTTTTTTTATCGAATTTTATATTATGCTGATATGTCATTTCAGCATTATGCATGATCTAAAAATCATGAGATATATGCTGAAATTCAATAAAGCAAAAATGCTATAGATATATTTCTGCAGACAGAAAGCCCTATTTGGACAAATCTTGAAATAACCTGTACATGCTTGCTCTCATAAAATCCCACCATGATAAAAAGTAACCTTCTGATCAAAATATTTACCTTTTTATGATTTACTTTTTATTGCTTTTTATGGCATCAATCAAACTATTTAGGACCAATAAGCGCTCAGAGTGTTCCTTTTGCCTTCTCTCTGATTCCTTTGCTTGCATTTGTCTGTATTCGCTTTGAAATTCTCGCTGTTGTTCTGAGTGTTGTTTCAATAGGTTAATGATTTCTGAAGAATTTGTCTTCTTTGACTTTTGTTTTGAACTTTCATTGGAATCCGATTTTGAACATGAACAGTCATCTTCACCCTCTGTACTTTCAGAATCAACATCAGGAAGCTTGCGTTTTTTCACAGAGGATATTGTCACAGGGTTGACAGTTGGACAGTCTCCAAGGACATCATTTAACGCATCCTCAAATTCATAGTGCTTCTTGTCATTTCCACTCTTCTTGTTGTGGTCCTTAGTGTTTTTGAAAGCCCTAGTGATCGTTTTCCATCGACCTGATATCTGATCTGCTGTAAAACTGTAACCATGTTCTTTAAACACTGTCTCAATTTTCTGCCACAACATCTTTTTCCTAAGTAGTCCAGATGTAACTTTTGCCTCGTGTCGCTGATATTCAGAGATTAACAAGAGTGTTTGTGACTTGTTCCATGACATACATGTACCAGTAGTAGTAGATATACCTTTTGTGTTTTCTGTTGGACTGTGTTGGGACCCGTTCAAATCTGTGCTTTTAGCGTTAGTGCAATCTGTGTCCACAGATGAAACTGTAATAATACAAGGAAAAAATGTGTGTCAAATCAATACATGCATATATATTTACTATAATTATGTACACCTGACTCATAAAAAATACAGACTTCAGAATGTTAATAATTTCAGTTATCTCAGTATATAAGCTTATGAAATCATTTCTACAAAAACTGTAAAAAAACTTTTCTAGTTTTTCAAAAGCTGTAGTTTGATTCTCAAAATGAACCAAACTGTCATATTTCAACACAATATTATTTGTAACAAACTTACCATCAGCAAGGGCACATGCATGTTGGTTGTAACTGGCAACAGTAAAGAAAACTCCACCACATTCTTCACACAGTATTGCAGTATTTCTTTTGGTAGTTTCTTGGGGCTGTGCATGTGTAGACTGTGCTGTGTTAGCTAAAATAAAAAATACAGCTTCATTATGTTAGAAATCTGTACAATATAAAAAAAGACTCTAGTCTTGATTTAATACAGATCACAAAAGGCCTATAAATCAGTGATATTTTAAAAATCAACATGACCACCAGTTAAGCACCATCGTCAAAAGCAAGCTGCAACAGGACATTGCTTTATTTCTATTTCGAGTCTAAGTATACAGTGTAATTGAAACATTAGCCATAAGAAGTAACATAAGAATAAAAACTCAACATGTCACTTTGATATAACATGATGATTTTGTTTGTTTGTTTGTTGTGTTTATCGTCCTATGACTGAACAGCCAGGGTCATTTTGAGGCGGGGGCTCCTTGTAGCAGTTGGTGACTACCTCACTGAACAACATGCGGGCGGCTCGTCGCATGTCATCAAAAGCAATTAGGGTATCATGTCTTGCCCAAGGGCACAACCAACGACAGCACAGACCGGTCAGTCCTCGACTTCCCGAGAAACACAAACCGACACCGGCAGCAAGCGTCGAACTCGCACCTCGGATCTTATAACACGATGAAAAAAAAAATCCCAACAGATTTAGGCCATATAACAGTCAACTTACATAAAATATCACACCTGTAAATTAAAGCAAATTGGCACAGGAAAAAATCGTATAACGACCAAAAACAAAAATGATGCTGCCCGAAATTCCATACGACATGCACAAAAACAGCTGTCAGCTGATCCCGATATAGACACCAATTCAATCATTAGCAGATTAGACCTATGCCTATAGCATGATCCGTCTTATTATCATCATTTGACTCATAACACAAGCTAATTTACGATTTAAGCAAAGAAAAAAAGAAAAATATCTCGTTAACTCACCCTTTGAACAACTGTGTGTTGTAAAGGCCTCTCTAGTTGCAAAAAATATCCCGCAAGCCGCGCATTTAAAAAATTTGGACGCCATGTTTTTTTCTCTTAATGACGTCACTCTCCTCAACCACACCACCTCTTTCGCGGGAAGAGCCGGAAGATGTTCCGGACACTATACCGTAACATTCGATTGCTATTCCGTTTCTCCTGCAGCTCCTGGAGAGTGAATCGAGCGCACCCTAAGAGAGATAACTCTTACGAGATTACAACTACTATAGATCATTACACAACCGCCCAGATAATCCAGAAAGTACTAAACTGCTTAACACCCATAGACCCCAGAAAGATAAGAAAAAACCCAACAGCCTAATACCCAGAATAGAAATTTAAATAGATTTAGAAATTCATCAGTGCCTTTGTTTGAAGTGTATCCGTACCGTGCTGTACCCAAGCCTTAGAGGAATCTACGGTGTATATCCTGTAGATAGAACTTTTGTGTTCGTTTCATTCCGGGATATATCTTAAGGAGTTGAACAGCTACGATCTGCATCTTTTAAGTTAAGTGCACTTAACCCCCTACTAACCATACCTTTTAACCTTCCCGTTAAAGTCAATAAGTTCAGCTAGATTTAAAATATAGAAGTATTGTAAGCTCGAGTCCACCCCAACAAAATATCCATTGAAATATAATCCCGATAGCAGCAAAGCCCTTTTCAGACCTTATGTCTTTGTTTAAAAAAAAAACACTTTTACATAAGCGTCCCTACATAGGATCGAAACTACGAAAAAACACTCGGACGTTGCCGAGGACACCCAATTTTCGTTCGTACATTTCCTGACCCAAGCCCACTCAATTTAAACAGAAAATTCGAGCTTATAAAACTTCAAATTTCACGTACGACCCGCAATATACACAATCAAATAATCTTTAGCTCTCCTCATTGAATTTTAAAAGTATTAGTGCTCACACCAAAACCCCGGGACGGGAACATCACGCCGTACCTGCATATTATCACGTAGTCTATCTTAAGAATGTTTTTAGCAAGTGTATATCTGTATGGATACGTCGTGGGTTACCTTATCGAGTGCCTGTGTTATTGTTTATCTTGGGACATGTGCACGTACCGCTGTAAAGGTGAGTCGATCTATATTTAGCCGTCACACTTGGCCAACCGGTCCGGGTACCTGTTCCATTGTTAGCGTGCGTGGGTCGAACTGTCATGTAATGTTGTCGAGTTGTCTTGTATTCTTTATTGTAATAGTTTGTAAGGGGCGTAAGAGTGTGTAAGTCAAGTGACCATGAGATAATGTTGTCGAGTTGTCTTGTATTCTTTACAGTAATAGTTTGTAAGTGGCGTAGGAGAGTGTAAGTCAAGTGACCATGAGATAATGTTGTCGAGTTGCCTTATATTCTTTATTGTAATAGTTTGTAAGGGGCGTAATAGGGGCGTAATAGTGTGTAAGTTAAGTGGCCACGTGTTTTCTTTGTAAATCGTCGGCCTATGTTCGGGCAGACTGAGTCCGTTCGTTGTGCTGTGCAGAAGGCTCACCATTGTAATCGCCGGTTAATGTCATGACTCCGGAGGTGGTTTTAGACAGGTTTGAGAAACAAAAGGAGTTCATTTCTAGTTTTAATTGGGGACTTTCAGATAGACACGAGAACAGTGTTTAATGAAGTTCTCGAAACCAGAACTTATCTTCTCGTTGAGTTGGTTAACACTAGAAAGGAAGTACAGTTCCTGAATGAGCAGACGTACAGGCTAATGAGCAATTTGAGTAAAGTTCGAAGCGAATTTAGACAACGTGTTTCAACATCTGATAGTTCTAGTCAAACTCTTGTTGGTGTAGGAGTAGGGATAGATGACGTATTTGATACAGCTCTCGTGTCTAAATTTGAAAATAGGTCATGCACCATTAACACAAAATCCCCCATTGGTAGCAGCACTCGGGTAGGGCATGTTGGATCTGGTACCGGTAGAGAAGACCGGGTTGTTTTCAGTAGTACTCCAGTACGTCATGTTGACTCCAATGACGTGAATGCGGAACACGTTGATTCCAGTAAGGCAAATTGTTCTGGAAAAGGGGCTTCAACTAATACGGAGCATAACCCTAGCAAGTCGCGGTCCCGCGGGTCAGATTTGAAATAAGTTTTAATGAAACCGGTTGTTTATAATGGTAAGTAAGACTGGGACGAGTATCTTTCGCAGTTTGAAATTGTGGCGGATATTAATAAGTGGAATGATAAAGAAAAAGGTCTATTTGGCAGGAAGTTTGTCCGGTGCTGCAAGGGCAGTACTGAATGATCTCGATAACACTAGTCGCCCAATTTCTCTGAGCTCATTAAATCACTCCAATGAAGATTTGGTGGCGAGAGTAAGTCCAAAATGTACCGCGCAAAGCTACAGACGAAGGTGAAAGGAAAAGATGAGTCAGTATCTGACTTGTCGCGGGCTATACGCAAACTTACTTGACAGGCGTATCCAAAAGCTGAAGAAACGGTCTTAGAGATATTGTCGACTACTTGTTGTTGTTTGTTTTTCACGGTGCCTTTTAATTATCGGCAACTTTTAGGTGTTTTGCAGTTTTATGTGTTTGTGTGATACTTGTTGTACCTGTTTGATGTCTAGATTGGTATGTGGGGTGTTTTCTTATGTGGTTGTTGCGTTTTGTTTCTTTACTTTGTTCAGGTGTTTGTTGTTTATTTGGTTGACGTGTGGTTTGTGTTTGTTGTTTTAGTTGTAGGTATGGGTTGAAATTCTTTGTGGATGTTGGGTATAAATATATGTGACTATGCCTAATGCGATATAATTCAAGATGAAGACCGTCATGTTTGTTGGGAGTTCATATGTGAAGGGATTTGGTTTTTATGCACAGCGGAATGGTTTTTTTCCCGGATTGGAAGATTATCTATCGGGGTTATGGAGGATTGACTTTCCGTCGCTTGACTACATCAATGCGAAGAGATCTCTCTGTTCCGGCTGATGTGGTCGTGATCCACATGGGAGCCAATGACATCGCCCCTGGCCGCCACCCACGAGAGATATACGAAGAGTTAGTGAAGCTGGTGGAAGACTTTAAGGCGAAAGGGGCCCATGTGCATGTTTTGTCTTTGTTGGAGAGGGGGAATGTCTCGAAACTGGAGGGCCTGACTTTAGTCCAGTACCGAAGGAGCCGGAAGAAAATTAACAGTTGGCTGAAGAGGGAGCTGTCGAATCATTATTTTGAGTTGAGGAAGTTTGTTTATCCGAATGACTATGCCGCTGACCAGGCGGAGTCCAATAATTTACTCCCTTTTATACCATCGCCCTCTCAGGTAGGATCCAGTCTTGTAATGCCAAAATCACTCGAACCTTACACGTTCACTGAAAACACCCACCTACTTTACGCTCGTTGCAATTTCGATCCTACCTAGGGGTATATAAAGCTTCATGCTGTGGCCAACCTCTCACCTCACACACACTTTTGGGTGGCCCATAAGTACGTTCACACTTCCAAGCCAAGTCTGACTATCTACTTGATCCCAGTCGACCAACCTTAATCACTTTTGAGACACCTATCTCTGGATCCACAATTCCACCAGACTACAACAGCCGACACCTAGACTTCTTACCAAGCCCCACGAGGATTCCCGGTTTTTTCGCAGGATAGTGTTAGTGGTAGTGTTAGTAAATATTCCCAGGATTATACATAGGAAGCGCGGAGATAACAAGAATAAGATAAGTGAAATTAACCTCCTAATTGTTGTATACAACATACCCCATCACATTAACCCAAACATCTTTCTAGGGAAAACAATACTCAAAGCCACCAGAATGTTAAACAAACAAGGCCAACTCACCAAATCAGTAATTCTATTTTTCAACGCATCCACACCACCACCATACATCTCCGACGGAATTCGCTTCATCAAGGTCTCACCTTACATTACAAAAAACAAAGCCACATCACAACACACACACGCAAACAAAACATACGCAAAAGCCGCAACACCAACATCGACTACAAAAACATTCAATACTGATTTTAAACTTCGCTACGGAGAAACACAAGATATACACATCAAACTAGCAGCACCACACATAGGGAACACACCGATCACCAAACAACAATTCATAAACACGATAGGATAACTTT